CTTTTCCTGGTGAGTCCAGTCCTAACCAGATCTGAGGCCCAAACCCCTTAAGCCCGTCCCACAAAAGCCAACTCTCCTGAGTCCTCTATTGGCCTCCGGGGACCTGTTTATCTTCCCCAGGCACACTCTGCCCTGCCCACCTGCTCCTCTTATCTCTGCCAATTTCTTCACAGCAGTCATGTTCCCCCCTTCCCTCCTCTACCCCATCTGCAAAGTGGGCTGGAAACACTGTCCCAGGCCTGGCACTGGGCTCTTCTCATTAGTCACTTAAGAACATGGAAGTAGAGAATGTTCCCATTTCACAGATGGTAGGGCTGAGGCTAGAGAAGGCCAGGCTTCACTAGGGAGGGATGAGGCTAGGGGTGAAGCTCAGGTGGGAGAACCCAAGCATGTGTTCAGCCAGCACTGTATACCAGTCAGGGGTTTGAGAGAAGGAAGGGAAGACCGTGTAGAGGGAGACAAGGTCCCCTACCCCAGTGGGAAAGCTGACAGTTGCCAACTGGGTCTCGGGATAGGAGACTAAGTAAGCAGCTGAGCTATGATGACTTCCCCTGCTTCCCACCCAGCATGGCCTCCCCAAGGCTATGGACTGTGTTCCTGGGCAAGATTCGGCAGAACTCACGCTGGCCAGGTGAGGTGTCCTTCAAGGTGAGCCGCCTGTTCCTGCACCCGTATCACGAGGAGGACAGCCACGACTATGATGTGGCCCTGCTGCAGCTGGACCACCCGGTGGTATTCTCGGCCACTGTGCGTCCCATCTGCCTGCCTGCGCGCTCTCACTTCTTCGAGCCGGGACAGTTCTGCTGGATCACTGGCTGGGGAGCCCTTCGAGAGGGTGGTGAGCAGGGGCAGGTGGCAGGGAACTGGGTTATCAGGAGCAGGCTTGGAGGACTGTCAGGGTCCTACCTCCAGGCCCTCCAGCTTTGGGATCAACAGAGCTGGGCTAAATTTATAGGGCAAAATCTATAATATGGCCTGTGGGTCCTGCTAACTGCCCTCCTAGCTCTCCTTTGCCTTGGAAGGCACTGAAGAACTTAAGCAGAGGGCATAGGGGATAGGTAAGGATGCCACAGATTGGCTGTATGTACCCTGGGGGAAGGGTGGGGTCAGATGGGGTTCTTTATTTTTTTTATTTTTTATTTTATTTTATTAGTTCAAATTAGAAACAAGCTTGCTTCAGATGTCAATCCCTTCTCCCTCTCCCTCCCCTCCCCCCCAACATCCCACCTGCCCCTAGCCATCCCCCCTCCACTCCCCAGGCAGGGTAAGGCCCTCAAAAGGGGCTCCCCAAAGTCTACCACATCATCCTGGACCAGGCCTAGGCCCTTCCTCATGTGTCAGATGGGGTTCTTTATTACTGCAGATTGGATTGAGGGCAAACTGTCACATAAGCCACTCAGCCTTAGGGGTGGGCACTACAGCCCCATGTTGTTGATGAGAAAACTGAGGCTGAGTCCCTTAGTTACCGAAAGCTGCTCATTCAAGAGATCCGGGCAGGGACTCAGATCTAGGACTGACTGCCCTCTTTCTAGGGCCTAGAGTTTCCTGCTTTTGCTGCTAGAAAGGGTATTCTTCCCTCCAGGCCTTAACTGACAGGAGCTGCCATCTCTAGAGGCTGCCCCTCAGTTCTGCAAACATAGGCTTGGCTGGCCTAACTACAGACTAGACTGCAACCTTGGCAAATGGTGATTTACCACCTGGAAGTATGGGCAGGTGTGGTGTGGTGTTGGAGATTGAACAAGGGCCTCACATATGCCATGCCCTGCCACACCTGATCTCTGCAGAGATACATTAAAGATGGGGACACTGAGGCTCAGAAAGGTGACTTGGCCAAGATTGCAGTGACAGAGCAAGGGTTCCTCGCTTGGTCACTCACTCAGCAACACACATATGAGCACCTACTACGTGTCAAACATTGAGGCAGACAAGAGGGGGGTGAAAGCAAGAACACTCTTGGGAAAGACAGACAATGATATGAGCTACCACAGACAGGAACAGGAAACAGCCTGGAGAAGGCACCTGCCCGGCATGGCATCAGGAGGAGGGGTCTACAGAGGCTGGAATGACTACTGAGCAGCTCCTGGGAACCAGATGTTCATGGTGAAGGCACAGGTGGCAGGTAGAAGGACCTGAGAATGCTAGCAGCTGCCTGCTGGAGGGGAGTCAGGGTAGGCATGCCTAGGGGAGGGCCTTGGAGCAGGTGGGCCTTAAAGGCTACCACAGGACTCGTGGGTGAGAAGTCCTCTCCACCCACATTTTAGAACCAAAGGGGCTTCAAAACTCCAATGTCTGGCCGAGCATCAGACTGGTGAAATATTATCTCATAGTTCTGTGGGACAAGATCTGGAACAAGATCTGCTAAGGAGTTAAGAGTACAGTGAGGAGCCAGTAGCACACGCCTTTAATCCCAGCACTCGGGAGGTGGAGGCAGGTAGATCTCTGTGAGTTTGAGGCCAGCCTGATCAAGTTCCAAGGCAACCTCCAAAGCTATAGAGAAACCCTGTCTCGAAAAACCAGAAACAAACAAAAAAAAAAAGAGTACAGCGAGGAGCTTTACCTGTTTTTGATAGCATCCCCTGAGGCTACAATAGAACAGAGGGGCATCAGACCTCCAGAAGCCCTTGAGAGGAAGGATGAGGGGGACATGCTCTAACAGGCTTTTCTGGGGTAGAGGGGAGGACTCTGTCATCATGACCATGTAGATGAGTCAGCAGTGATAGGGCAGAGTGGGAAGGGCTCCTGAGACATTAGGATGACCACAGTGGGGACAGATTCCTAGCCCCTTGTATTTGCTGCCACCCTCCCTGCAGGTCCCAGCAGTAGCACCCTGCAGAAGGTGGATGTACAGCTGGTCCCTCAAGACCTGTGCAGTGAGGCCTACCGCTACCAGGTGACCCCACGCATGCTCTGTGCCGGCTACCGCAAGGGCAAGAAGGATGCCTGCCAGGTATTACCTGTGGAATGTGGGCTGATGGGAAGATGACTATACCCGCTTTACAGATGGGGAGCCTGAGGCCTTCAGAGGCCGAGGGGGTTGCTCCTGGCTGCAGAGGCACATAGCACACCTTGGGGTGGAAGGTCTTTGGCTCTGCTCCTTGATATCCTGAGACTTTGGGACTGGGGTCATACAGGGGTAGACTGATGTATCCCCATTCCTCTTTTAGGGTGACTCTGGAGGTCCACTGGTTTGCAGGGAGCCCAGTGGTCGCTGGTTCCTGGCAGGGTTGGTTAGCTGGGGCCTAGGCTGTGGCCGACCCAACTTCTTCGGCGTCTACACTCGCATCACGCGTGTGATCAACTGGATCCAGCAGGTGCTGACCTGAGGGGCTGTTCTACAGAGCTGGACCTGACTCCAGCCCAGATTCAGGGCACCCACCCAGCCAGGGCACAAGTATTCCAGGGCAAGTGGCCCTGCTGAGGCCTGTTTCCTCAGGCCTACCCCAGTGACAGCACAGAGAAGGAATGTCAGCTGGTGGCCGGGATGTCTCCTGAGGTTTGGGCTCCAGCCTCATTCTAATTGTTTCCCCTTTTCCCTCTCGTACCACTGTTTTGGTGTGGGGTCTGGTGGCAATGATACAGGCTCTCAGTCTCTTCAGGAAAGTAAGGTCCCTTCCCCAAGCAAAAGCCACTTGGAGGGAACTGGCTCAGACAGCATATTCCAACCTGTGAGGGCCCCTGTGTACTTTGGATGGGTGCGAGGAAGGTATCTCTATCAAGGGGAACCCTCAGAGCCCTTGAGACTGCCAAGTGGGCCACACTGTAAGCCAAACCATGGGGCAGTCCCAGCTGCAGGTGCCGGCTGCAGCTCTGCCCGCTACAGGGCCCTCCCTGCCATTCCCTGGAGGCCCACCAACTGTTCTGAAAATAAAGCAGCTGACCAAGCCCTGATGCTGATATCTGAGTGTCCCCATACATCTTATGTCTGTCACGGAACAGATCTGCTGCTGTCTTGGCCCCTCAGAGGCCACTGTGCAGAACAGTGAGAGGTGGGACTCAAAGGCAGGGATTTTTCTGGAACAGCAAGCTGGGTACAGCCAGAACAGAGGGGAAAAGAGGAGCACTGCAGGGGGCTGCAGGTAGGTGAGACCCAAGAATGAGCAGAGGATTGGGGACTGTGGGAGCCATGGCAGGCTGCAAAGCAGAGTCGCTTCACGTTTTACAACCAGCACTCACACCATGTTGGGGGAGCTGGAGGCAGGTGAGGGGAGATAAAGTTCAGAGAGGGGACAGAGATGGCTGGAACAAACAATGGAGATGAGCTGGAAGATTTAAGACACAGGGGCGCCCCCTGGAGACAGTGGTGACAAGTGTCATGTGCATAGAGCTTTGGAACTGACAAGGAGTGAAGGAGGGTTAGGTAAGGCTGATCAGGAAGCAGTGGGAAGGACTGGATCCTGCTGGGAAGGGATGGGGCCAGGCAGGCAGGGTGGGCCTCTGGCACCCGTGGATAAGGCACAAAAGGGCCATATGTCAGCCCCCCCCAAATGCTTAGTCCTAGGGGCTTCTGCTAAAATAGGGGGTTCCACCTATCCCATTAATCTTAAACCAGGTGGGGAAGGAGGACCACATCTTTTATCAAGCCTCCATCTGGCTCCTGAAAAGCTGACTGGAAAAGGGAGCTCACCTTTAGGAAGTGCATGTCTCAGGGTTGTGGTGGTGTTCTCCAAGCTGTGAGCTGGCAGGAGGGTGCCCTGGCCCCTGCCAGGTGTAGGGACACCCAGACGCCAGTGGCGTAGCTTCACAAAGATGGGGAGTAGGATGAGTCGGGCAAGAGGGTGAGGTGGCCCAGCAGGAAGGAGAGGGGTAGCCCATGGCTTAGGCTACAGCAGAGCAGTTGACAGAGCCAAGTAGCCTCAACTTTGACTCCTGAGTACAGGACTTAGTCATACACCCAGGAAAGTGACAATGACAGGGGGCTTCAGAAAAAGCAGGTCTACCTCACCTGAGTTTAAGCCCTGTTCCCCAAAGGAGCCCAGAGAAAGAGGGAGGCAGCCAGGCCAGCCTGTTGGTTTCAGGTTTATTTCATGGTGAGTGGGACACAGCTGGCACATGTGTGCCCATCCCAGGGGTCAAGACATGGGAGGGGCAGCTCAGCCCCTTTCACACCCGTCCCCTTCCCCATCACAAGTTCCTGGGCAGCCTCAAGACTCGCTAGCACACTCTGCTGCCAAACACGTGGTGGCAAAGGGGAAGGGCAGCCAAGGTGATGCCAATCCTGTACCTGGCTTCCTGCTTGGCTTAGTCCTCGCATTGTCCCCCACCAGTATCTGAAGCCATAGTGTCCCACTTGGGGGCTCGGCTAGAGTTCCCTCCCCCCAAAAGTAACGATTGCAGCCCTAGACACTTAGGGCTCCAGGAACCCCATTCCTCCCTGATCCTCACAACACCCCTGTGAGGTAGGTGGGAGGAGGGGTGCCATGGAGACAGAGGCTCAAGGAGGTGCTATGACTGGGCTGGGAGGGAGTGGATCCGCCATGCAGCAAGGGGGCCCAGGCGAGGGGACAAACGGGCCTGGGAGATATGGGTGGGCAGTGCCACACTTTGGCCATGGGCAGATGACTCTGCCTGGACACACCAGGGCCCACCTCAGGCCTTCCAAGGTCCCAGAGGGCCCCAGGCCTGGGCCTGGAGGCAGGGTTGAGTCCCAGCCCAGCAGATGCAGGCAGCAGTGATAAGGGAGAGGGCAAGTCTTCCTCCTCGGGCCGGGGGCCCACCCCGTGGTACAAAAATAAAGGATTTCAGATCGGAACCCCAAGTCCCTGGAGGTGATCTGGGGGCTCACATCCGGGTGCCTCTGGCTTGTAATAGCTAGAAAATAAGAGAGGGGAGGGACAGAAGGAAGAGGAGAGGGGGTCAGAAAACCAGGGTGGGGGTGAGGATAGGGTGATGCCAGGACAGGAAAGTTGGGGAGAGTGGGAGAGGGAGGGAGAGAGGGAGAGAGAAAGGCAAGTGAGTCCAGGCTGGCTCTGGAGGGGGGGGGGCTGAGGCCCAAAGAAGGCGGAGTCAGGACTGAGGAGGGGAGAAACTGCCAGTCTTGGGCTGGTTGTGGCAGCCTGGTGGTGGGGGGCGTTAGGAGGGACAGATCACTGCTTTCCCAGGCAGAAAGGGGACACCGAAAGCAGCTGTCCACACCATCTTAGAATCCAACTGTGGCCCAGAGAGAGGCAGTGACTTGCCCAAGGTCACATAGGGAGATCCGTCTGACTGGGGCCTATTGTCACCCCTGTCAGAGAATAGGTCTTTTCCTGCCACGCTCCAATCCTTGGCAGGCTCTTGCCAACTCATTAGCCAAGGGACACCACATGTGGCCTGGCACCCACTCCACAGAACTAGGGGACACAGTACCCACATGCAGTGTGGCACGAGCTTCTAGACATGCGTGATGGGGCAGAGGCCAGTCCTCTCCTCCCCGGCCTGGCTCCAGGGCCTACTGACTACAGGCAGGCAGGTACAAGACACTCCAGCTCTGGACTTTTTCAGTTCTCAGGGCCTCACCCCAAGGCCCAGATAAGCTGAGAGACTTTGGTGAGTGGAGAGAATCAGCCAAAAGCTCGGCTCAAGTCCAAGGACAAGATATGAGCACCCTCCTTGCTTCCGCCCCTCCCTCCAGCTCTGCCAGGCTACAAACCAGGGGCGGCAGCTCTGGGGGCGGGCGCGGGGCCGAGGAGCTCTCACAGCAAGCTCAGGCTTGGGTCTGGGAGGGTGCGGACAGGGACCTGCAAGGAGGAAACGTGAGGAGGCAAGCGGGAAGAGTGGGGCCTGTGGCCAAGGTCAGCCTCAGAGGTGCCCTGCTGGGTTGGAGGATATAGAGCAGATGCGGCCACGCCCCTCCTCCCCAGGCCAGGAGGCAGAAGGGGCCGAAAGGGGCGCAGGAGGCGGCAGGCAGGATGCTTGGGGATGCAGGGCCAGGGGGCCCGGGGAGAGGGCACGGGACACTGGGACTAGGGCAGCCCCAGGGTGGAGACGGGAGCAGGCAGAGAGGAAACCTGGGCAGGGGCAGAGAGGGAAGAGGCAGGGTGCAGATGAGATCCAGGAGGAAGAGGAGGTGGATGAAGATGAAGCAGGACCTCCAGCAGGAAGCGGAGGAGGAGGAGGCGGTGGTGGGAGGGAGAAAAGGTTAGCGGGATCCTGAGATGACAGGGCTGCAAGAGAAAGTGAGAGAGGGATGGTTATGGGCGAGGCGCCAGGCGCTGAGCTAACCCTGGTGGCCCGCCCCCGCAGTTCCCGGCGGCAGCTGCTCCAGCAGGGAGAGGGCGGGAGGCCCGGGCTGTCATTAGCAATCGTCCTCCTGGGGGCGGGCTGCACCTTTCTCCTGGGCATCCGCCTCCACCTGCACCTGGGCCACCTCCACCTCCTCCACCTCCTGCCGCCGCTGCTCCTCCAGCTGCTCGTCCGTGCTCTGCGAACCCGCCGCCGACCAGGGAAGAGAGAGTGGAGACACTGACGAGGGGGCGGGGCTGCGGGCGGCTGTCCGCAGGGACCCCCGACCTCAGGACAGAGGGGCAGGCAGGATGAAAGGAACCTCTGAGAAAGGGAGGGCAGTAGCCAAAGCAGCTGGTGCGTCTTCCCTAGCCCAGAAAAGATGCTTAGAGACCATCCAGGCTGCTGTTACAGAGTCCGGCTATGGGGAGGACTGGAAGAGGAGCCACTGGGCTCCTGGAAAGGCCTTACTTTGGGAGGGTGGAGCCAGAGCAGGAAGCCAAGGTTGTCCCAGGGTAGTCACCAGCCAGATCTAGATGCCAGCAACAGTGTCTGGCAGCCTGGGCCAGGTTGGTGACAAAAGGGAGGCAGAGCAGCAGGGTACCCTGCACTCTTGCAGGGAGGAGCCAGCCACTGGCATGGGGGGAGGATGGCAAGGGGATTACAGCAGGGCTGGGTGGTAACACACGGGAAGCCAGAGTTCCTAAAACTCCTGCACATGGGCACAGCTTCCACCTTCCCAGCCAGGATCATGCCTATTGTGTGGGCCCTACTGCAGGCCCAAGGGTACTGGGCCTGACTCAATTCTTCCCCACAGGCTGGCTGCCAACTGAGCTCTTGGAAGAATGCTGCCTAGGCCAGAGCCCACAGGGCTCCTAAAACCACTCAGGGAGGCTACCCAAAAGGCCTGGGGGAAAGTAGGACTGTGGTATTTCCCCATCCTGACCTAGGCTGACACTAGACAGTCACTAGTCCCTGGGAAATGAACCAGCAGGTGGGAACCCTCCAGGAATTCCAGCTTGGAATCTCCAAAGGGCTCATGACCCACCTCCTCCTTCACAGAGAATTCAGCAAAGATGCCAGAAGAGAGACTTGCCCAAGGGCACACAGAGCAGCATGCCACACTTCAGCATGCTGTGCCTCGTGCCTGTCCGTGTGGCCTTGTGAATAAGAGACATCAAGCCTACCCTGTCTGTGCCCTTGGAATGGTGCTGCCTGACTGTTCCCCAGCCTGGGCCAGCGGTGTGAGCTGACTGGACGGTAGTGGCATGGGATGGATGGCATTGGCTGTGACCATGACCATGAGGGTTATGTGGGTGCAGCAGGAGGGAGGGCGTAGCAGCAGAATGGGGGAGAGTGCTGTCTTCACACAGGGCAGGGACTCACCTTGGTCTTACGGCTAGACTCTGAGCTTAGGCCGTGTGGGGAGCTGTGGAGTTCCTTTGACACCACACACAGGAACTCGGCCTGGTCCTCGCTGCCGTAGTTGTAGGAGGAACCGATGTTCACCAGCTAGGGAAGGATAGGACTCATCACCCTCTCTGCCAGCAGAGGGCAAGAGAGACAGAAGTCTACTGGAGGACCCCTGCTGGCAAGAGGCAGGCCAGTGACCACACCCAGGAGCCTTCCATATTCTCCCTGGGTCCAAAAGATTTGCTCACACTATTTCTAGGTTTTCTGAGATGGGGCCTCAAACTTGCTATGCAGTTGAGGGTGACCTTGACTTCCTGCCTCCACCTCCTGAGTGTCACTGTGGCTCTCCTATGACACTGGTTCTGCCCCAAACTAGAACCTTTCCTGATGGCTCTTCTCACTTTTACAGAAGCCTTGTGAAGGAGGTACCATGAGCTCACATCCCAGGATGCAGAGGCTGGGAGAGCGGCTGTCTTGCTCAAGTAGCAGGAGTGACAGAGGGCAGGGCTGGAAGATAGGGTGCCCTCCCATCCTAGCTGGCTGTTTGGTCTTCCTCACAATGGCTATCCTGGAATCCCAGCCTTGTCCTCCAGCTTTCCTGTGGGGAGGTGCTCAGGGAACTAATTCAGTTTGACTCTTGTTCTCAGGGCAGATTGGACCTTGAGTTCATAATGGGGGGCTCTATGCCTCTAGAAACCCAACAGGCAGAGTGTGGCCTTGTGGCTGATGACAGGAGTCTCCTGTGGTGAACCACATATGGCCTGGAGGCGTGGATGGTCACATCCATACCACTGTGCACATCTGTCATGAGACCCTGGAGGTCAGGCCCAGGGTTTGGCAAGGGTTCCACTCACCTCTGTGGTTCTGGTCTCCTATATCTGAGCAGTCCCTGAGGACCAGAGACAGCTGGTCTGCTGTACAGACCCTCAGTGACTAGGATGTCCAGGGGCAAGGGCTTCCTGCCTCCTTCTCAGTCCACCTGTGCTCAGCAGGCACTTTTCTAGTCTTGCTTAGTTCCATTCAAGAAGAGTCTGGGTTTGGGCTTGGGGAGGGACTGGAGGTTGAGACTGTAAAAAGGACAAACTTAGGGTGTCCCTTGTACCCAGCCCACCTGCTCGAAGCGCCAGCCATCAGACATGGTGGAGACCATCTGTGTGAGCTCCTCCTCCTGGCACTGAAGCACGCGGTACACATGTTTGGGTGGCACCTGTGGGTAAAAGGGTCATGTGGAGGGCACTTCTAAGGGTACCAGGCATACAGCTGCTTCTTCCCCACCATATAACCCTAGATGAAGGGCCAGAAAGTTAGACCAGGGAGGAGGGAGCCATGTTCTGAATACCTACTATGTGCCAGATGATTCCCATGCAGGGCTCACTCCTTCTGAGACCCTTATGCCTTATGCCTTAAGGAATTCTATACTGAGGCTCTCAGAGAGGTTCAGTTACTTGCCCGGGGTCACCAGCTAAAGGTACCAGAGCCATGTGTGAAATATGATTGACACAAGAGGGAAGCAGGGTAAGGTTTGGGGAGACATTCTGGGTTACCAGTCGAGTCAGGCCCTCACCTCTTTAGCCTCTGTGGCTGGGAGGTGAGGTCTCACCCTGTCCCCCCAGAGGTCTGGGGACTGAGCTCTGATATGCCAGTCCCAATAGCTCATATGTACCTACAAGGGGACTGCCTGACTCCATGAAGTAGATATTTACTCATCCTGCATGGCCTTGGCAGGGGTGGGTGGGTGATTGTACTTCTACTGACGTCCTCTATGAACAAGAGTAGCTAGGCAACTTTGAGCATCTCTACTTTCCACACAGGAAAACAAAGAAGGGCATAATAATCCTAGGTCAATCGGGGGCAGAACCCTAGCGGTATATATCCAGGTTGGGGCTGTGCTGAGCAGCCTGGGAGGCCTTGGGGTGATTGTACAAAAACTGACGTCCTCTATGAACAAGAGTAGCTAGGCAACTTTGAGCATCTCTACTTTCTGGGTGATTGTACTTCTACTGACGTCCTCTATGAACAAGAGTAGCTAGGCAACTTTGAGCATCTCTACTTTCCACACAGGAAAACAAAGAAGGGCATAATAATCCTAGGTCAATCGGGGGCAGAACCCTAGCGGTATATATCCAGGTTGGGGCTGTGCTGAGCAGCCTGGGAGGCCTTTCCATCTCCCCTCACCATTGACACCAACCCCTTCCCACCACTGGCCCAGCTTCCTCTCTCCAAACCTGGGTCACTGTGTAGTCTTTCTCCTCCATCCTGTCTTTGATGATTCGGATCAGGGGACCAATGTTGTAGAATTCAGCTTCCTCCAGGACCCCTAGAACATAGAGCAGCTTGTCATCTCTACTGTCTCCATGCCCCATTCTCCTTGTCCCCAGACTCATTTCCTGCTCTGGTCACATTCCTAGATAGCTATAAGTCTATAAGTGCAAGGGCCAAGAAAGAGGGAACATTTCAGGTCTAAGGAATTGCTCAATTGGTAGAGTGACTGCCTAGCATGCACAAAATCCTGGGTTTGAGCCCCAGCACTGCACAAACTTGGGTGGTGATGAACACTTGTAATCCTAGCACTTAGACATTCATGGACATCATTGGCCACATAACAAGTTTGAGCCAGGCTAGGCTTTATGAGATCCGGTCCAATCCAAAAAGGGAACATTTTTCCTTGGTCCCCACATAAGAGGCTGAAAGGCCACTCTTCAGCCAGTCCTGTCTCCTGTGCTGCGATAAGCATGTGACCCAAGATTACCCAATGAACCTGGGGCTCATTAGGACTGTGCCCTAAAATACTACAGGTAGGGCCTAGGCTATCCACTGTGTGCCCCCATTTATCAAATGCAGGCTAAGTACCAGGCCTGTGCTGGGAACATCACATTCTTTATGGCACTTGTCAGAATTAGAAATGAGCACTTTCATTATGTCCACTGGGGAGACTGAGGCCAAGAGAGAAACAGCTTGAAACCTTTAGAGCTCTGGACCCTCACCAGAAGTAAATAAGCTTTTGGGTACCTCCAGCTACCACTCATAACTGTTGGTAAAACCCTTGTGGGTCCATCAGAGGTCCTGGGAAGCAGGTGTCACTGTCTGTGTGTGATAGACACACAAGATCAAGCAGATACACTTCAAGATCAAGTCAGCCATCCCTCCTCCCACTTGCTGAAGTTCAGAGAGCTCCCAAGAGTCTGGACTACAGGAAGTCCCTGAAAGGCAGGGGGCTGCTGGACTCTCTGGAGACAGGGACCATCACAGACTGAACCTTTGAAACCTCACTGCCATGTGATGGAGGGACTCTGACCAGTGGGAGGTGAAGAGTCATAAAGATGGAAACCCAAGGAAGTATGACTTCTGAAAGAAGAGGCTGATGGCCAGTGAATCCCTCTGTCTTCATGCAGCACACAAGTGGACAGTTAGCAGCAGGGAAAAGGGTCAGGTCAGAAGCCCCTAGGCTAACACGCTGACCCTGAATCCCAGCCTGCAGAGTGGGTGGGGTCAGTTGCTGTTGTCATAGTCCCCTGGCCTCTAGTACTTCTTTACAGAGTTGAAACTGTGTCGGGGGTCATTCTGATCTCTATTGTGCTCAAGTAATACATGCTGGAAGGGAGAGTCAGCAAGGACAACTGCCTGAGTGACAGAAATCTCCCAGGCCCTGGCTGGGAGCCATCCAACCCAAAGCTGTGTACCCCAGGCTAGGCTGCTTCCTACTGTGGGGGAACTTCCTTCCACATTCCCACTGCTTGGTATGGTAGGTGCAACGGTCACTAACTTCATAGACACAGAGAGGTTAACTAACATTTCCACTGTCACATGGTAAGCTTCCTCCTGAAATCCATCTCTCAGATATTTCCCCACCCCGCCTGAAGAGATGAGAGCATCAGAGCTCTAAAGAGCTGGAACCTGTAAACAGGTGTTGGCTGTGATTCGGCTGGAGTATGAGCCTCCCAGAGGGACCTGCTCCTGAGCCCAGGCCCTACCCACGTGATCTCTTCCCCTTAGACTGCTTGGCAGCTAGCTGTAGACCAGGCAGAGTGAGCTACCTACAGTGAGCTCTGAGTGAAATGATCACCCTGTCCTTTGGGGGCTCTTCAGATCACTGTACCCCATTGGGGTCAGCCAGAGAAGATGACTGACTAGAGCAAGGACTGTGAGAAATGCCACAGATTCAGGGAACTCATCTGCAGTTCCAACACACACTCTTCCGAATGTGGGTCATGATGCCCATTTTGCAGGCGCCAGTGTAGACCCAGAGAAGACTATATGTCCAAGCTGGCCTGGCCTGATCCAGAGCTACACTCAAGTGTACAGAGGAGAGCTGGTTTGAGGATGACTGTAGTCCCCTGGCCCTGGCCTATTCTTCACACTGCTTCCATGTCAGCTGGGCCTGGATATGAGCCTCCACAGACCTGGGAAGGCAGCAGCCCTACCAGGAACATCACCCCACAGCCAGCTTTGGGAACTCCACGAACTGGCTGATGACAAGCCCCTGCTTGGGAGGCACAGAATAAGGCAAAGAAGGACCCAGTTCTTCTCCCATCCAGCCTGGAGCATCCCAGGCCCCATCAGGCCTTCTTGAAGGCCAGGAGAAAGGTCATTCCCAAAGGCAGAAGCCTCAGGGCCTCTTGACCCTCTTCCTGTTTTCACATCACTTCCCCAACAGCACTCATGACAGCCTGGGTCTGTCAGCTTGGCAGAGACCTGGAGAATGGGACCCCATTCCAGGACAGGCAGAAAATAATGGGGAAAAGTAGATGCCACCTTGGCTACAAGAATGATTTTAGGAACTCCGGATGGCTCTGGCCCGCTCCAGAGAGCCCCAGACCAGCCCAATGAACCAACTCACCCTCCTCAGCCATGTCCTTGTCCAGCACCAGTTTGCCATGCCTGAGGAAGTTCAATATGGGCCCGAAGTAAGTGGGGTCACGGTCAATGAGGTAGGCCCCGGTCTCATCCTGTGGAGATTAGCACAGGAAGTGAGAGGCATGCAAACTTCCACAAGTCCAGCCCCACACATAAGCTCAACTGATCACAAGCTGGAGAAGGACTGCAGAAAGAGAGATGAGATAGAACAACAAGGTGCTGGGCTCCAGCCCTGCCTCTGCCTTTTCCAGCTGTGTGACCTTGAGCCATCATCTGGCCTCTTGAGCATGTCTTCTCTCCCGAATCACCAGAGGACTATGTGTGAGCATAGGGTGTGACCATATTTCTGAGCGACCCCTAGCTCAACACAGGATTCAATGAATTCCCCTCCTGGGAAAGTTTCCCTCTTGGAGGCTGCTCCCCTGAGCTAACCCCACTATCCACCAGATGTTTGCAAGTTTCCAAAGGAGCTGCTCTCCGATTGGACACTTGCAGCCTGCAGGGAGGCATAGCCGGCATCAATACGACCCCATCAAGAAGCAGGGGACTCGCTCAAGGACATAGTGTGAGAGGTTCACAGAATGGGGGCCAAGGAACTTTGGCAAGTCAACTCCAGAGGTCTTGCACATGAGGACAGAGTCAGATCAGGGAAATCCATCCCACTCCCCACTCCTCCCAGGTCATTCGGGAGTTGGCAGGAGAGCAGGGTGAGCTCACAAGTGGTATCTGCTAGGCCAGGGCTCTTCCTTACATTAAACCCACCTCCAAGACACCCAGGCCTTCTCCACCCAGTTCCCTGCACCCCTCAGCTGCCCACACCCCAAGGGCAGGGAGAAGCAGCCTGCATCAACTCCTAACGCTGGAGTCTGCCAGGACAGCACGGCTGGCCGGGCTTGTAAGTCCCTCAGCACCGCCCCACAGCAAGGGAGCGTCCCGGATCCAGGGCAGCGCTCCAAGGCTCCAAATGGCCGCGGCCTGCGCTGTCCCGTTGCCACGGCAATGGGTACAGCGATCCCTCTCAGCTTCGCTTCCTACCCCTCCTCCTGCCCGGGCTTCCCGCCTCGGGATCCTACGAATGCTACACCGACCAGGTCGGAGGCCGAGAGACGCACAGGCTGGACAGCCTCAGAACGCGGAACCGGGACACCACCATCGGCGGGCTCACCCGGTCCGACTGCAGCTCTTCGCCTTGGCACAGGCGGCTGAGGAAGGACTTCTGCTCCCGACACAGCGTCTGGCGGGTGGTCAGGAACACCGTGCCCCCCACGTTCAGCCGCACCCACTTGCCCCAGCCGCCCCCGGCGCGGCCGCCCGCCCCCGCCGGTGGCGCTGCCTCCCCGGCCTCCATCCTCATCGCCAGCTGCGGTGTCTGCATCCTCCCCTCCGCTTGCTGCGGGGCGGGTACCAGGCGCGGGGTATGCCGGGAGCTGTAGTATGGAGCTAGGATTGGGATGCTCTGCGCTTGTCCTGGTGCTGCTGGGACAGCAGGTCCCGCCCCACATTACCTTTCTTGGCGGCCTGACACCTGGTCTCTCCCTTTGACCAGCCTGCTTGATTTGCAGAAGGCCAGAGCCCTGGGAAAACAGCGATCCCCGATCCGCTATTCTCCTCATTTGTTCTGTGTGCGGGGGGGGGGGGGGCGG